ACACCTTTAGAAACACACACACACACACAGTATGTATGGCCATTAATCGGTGCTTGGGTTATAAATTGGTGGAGTGAAGTGTATATTGCTTTCAACTTAAAGGTCTGCTGCCCCATTGACAGTCCTGACAGACTTTCCTTGAAATCAAAGCAGTTATAGGTTCAGATCTCTGCACTCTGTCGAACTATTGGCTGTTGTGGACTCGGGCTTCACGGGAGGACTTCTAAAGTTCTGTTCCTGCACGGTGCATTAAAGTATCGTTTACAAACGGTGGTCAGCGGGGACAAATTGGTTTCATAACTAATCACTGAAAATGACATTTGGCACTGTTGCTCCCCATAACCATGACACAGCGTTTCCTTAGTGAAACCTTAACCACCCTTTGTGCTCCAAAAATCCCCCTTCACATGTTCTCATCACCACTTTGTTGGCCGTTCATGTGCACTTAATTTATAATTGCAATAATTTTGACAGCTCTTGAATGCAGCTATAGTGTTAAAATAAATCTCCAACTTAAAAGCAGACTTTCTGTATCGCCACAGGCTGATTATGCAGCTCCTGTGAAACTTAATGGCTCGGATAATATTAACATTGTCCGTAGAAAATGCCACATTTGAATACATTACGCTTTGAATATGTATTAAGATCCTCGTGTTTATTCCTGACCGCAGAGGATTTAGCCCTTTTGTGTGGGCCCCCAGAAATGTCTTCTGTTTTTGAATATCACGGCTTTTCTTTTAACAATTTTTTTTGCTGTTCTCCTGTCATCCTCAGATTGATCCTAAGGTTGCCTTTCCACGTCGCGCCCAGCCTAAGGTAAGAATAAATTGGTCACTAACCCCTGCTCAGAGAAAATGATTATGTCTCATATCACTAGCTTACCTAATTCTGTGTACTCCCACAGCAGATACAGAGAGGCAGTGGTGCTCTGTCTGTTATTGTAGAGGAACAGTCTGCCGCCATTGGATCGTTGACGCCGATGAATTGCATTTACCGGCTGAATCGCGCATCTATCGGGTTGTTTTGTCGTCGGGAGCCGAATGGCTCCGAGCGACGTTCAGTGATTAAGAAATGTCTTTAATTGTGGCGCGTGCATGTAGACACGGTCACAATCAGCATCGGGAAACAATGGGTGATTTAAAAAACAAAAAAAGACAAGTCAAACTCCAATCACGGAGGAACTCGTCGCACGAGCTCCTCGTGGTGCATATTATCTTTTTCCTCCTCTTGATTACTGGTCTTTGAGCGCTTCTATTGACGATTAAATATTCAGCGTGTGTAGATGGTGCTGTGGCATAGTCGAGGGCTTTGTTGACATGCCCCCCCGCTCCTCACACCATCCCCCGGGTTCAGTGCACAGTACAGTGTAGCGCTATTCAATAGGCGCTATCGGAGGGTGGGTGGGTGGGGGGTGGGGGGGCGCATTTTTCTACCTAAACCAGGTGGAAATCGATAATAGATTTTCTCCTTCCCGCCAGATCAGAGAGAGGCATTGTTAGAGAGTTGGTCAGGTTTCAAATGAGGAATTGGCAGAGCCGGCGTTCAAAGCCAGAGCACATGGTGACTTAAGGATATCGGCATATGGTTGAGAAACTACCAGTGTTTCTCCACATTTTCTCACACGCCAAGTGTTTCGCTGCAACTTCCTCCGTTCGGAGCCCTGCTCGTGAAAGTCCAAGGTGCTATAAAACAGCTCAGATGGTTGATGATTCTTCCATTTTTCGAGCAAGAAACTCCTCTTGCTGTCGTGGTTATTGTTAATCTTCTTTTTAAACAGTGCTGTACTCTATAAATTTTTTTTTAATATTATAAGCAATGACTCAGACAAGGAAACGCAATATGTCGAGCTGTCCTACCGGTCTTAAACATGTTTGTCATTCTACCTTGTGTGGTGAAATAATGCCACTATAGCATAATTCGTTGTGCCGCAAAAGCCTCGTACCGACGATTTATACAATGACTATAGGGCAGGCTTGTTAGGGAAGAAAAATGGATGTATTGAATGTGGATTATAAAGGGTCTTAAAGCAATGGGATTAAGCCAGATAGATTAACATTGCATGGGTTTGTACTTTATGTTCAATTGATTTAAGACCTTTTTTTTTTTTTTTTTTTTTTTTTTTTTAAAAGAAGCCCCATTCTGTGGTTCCCATTTAGCAAGTCCTCACTGTTTTGCATTTGCTTTCTTTCGTCCCCCTCACTCTCCCCTCCACTGTCCGCCCGCCCGGCTGCTTATGCAGCTGTTGAATAGGCTTCGGTCTTGTTTAAAGAAGCCCCGTCTTGGCAGGTGCCTCTGTGGCACGAGGCTTCGGGCGGCACATCGCCGATGCGACCAATCAGCGTTCGTTTTCTCACGGCTAACAATGACCTCGCGGGTAACCCCGCCAGTGAACCCCCCCCACCTCCCCGCTGCCGAAACGCTGCATTGTGGTAAAACCTATACAGTATGTACAGCACGTAGAGCGGCGCTGAAAACAGACAGGAAGTGAAGGTGAACACAGAGGACATTTCACTGTAAACAACTGAAGGTGTTTGCACCGGGATGACAGGATCACGGGGGAAAAAAACAACTTGTATCAGCAAGGCATAACTGACACTGCCCCCAAAACATGGACGTTTCATTATCAAGAGACGGGCGGGAAGGAGTTTGCCAGCGGACAATCATTAGGCCGCATATAACGAGGTAGACGTCATTTAATTTAAATCTGATTTGACATGTGTGGCAAAGTCACAGGATTTGTGTAGGTACCTACAATTCTGGAGTTTTAAAGGGAAACATTTATGTTTTTAAGGTCGGTATTATACCTGAATTGTAGATTATTGTCATGATAAGACATGAATATGTTCTCGTATGACAAATCACTTCCGGAGTGTGGATTTATTCTGCGTCGCCTTCTGGAACCTTGTGTCCGTGTAGAATTTAGTAATCTGTTTTTCTACCCATGTGTGGTAAAGGACACCAAGGGCAGAACACCACAGGTCCTGTCAATCAAAGAGAGCACGCTAAAGGAACATTGCTGATGAATAATGCCACACAACTAAAGCTTATCTTAGGACTTAAATAGTCAACATTTTGCACCAGAAATGGTGGCGGCGCTTACAAGTCGCGTGGAAGGTATCATTGCAGGCTAGTCGTCAGATATTCGGGGATTAGGTCTCTTCTGTTGATGACTGACGGATGAGAAAGAAAGGCTTAGACAATAGCGATGTGATGCAAGGTGCTTCACACACATTCATCTGAGCCCCCCCCCCTTTCAGCCTGGCTTGGAGTCAGCCATGGCTTTATGAGATAGGCAGCTAAAAGTAGCTTTTAGAATTCCAGGATTTCAATATAAATGTTTCAGCATCTCAACATTCAGTCCTTCTTGATCCACCCTATTAATAGCAGAAATAAGTTATATCTTGGAATAGATATATGTTATTATGATTAAACCTGAGCTTATTCCTGAAAATAAAGATGTGAACACAAGATACAATGACATCACCTTTTTTTTCTTTGTTGCCATTATATCACCACATATCTCTGCAGATACAGACACTTCAACACACGTCTTGTGGGTCAGAGTAAGTGGTGATTGGGAGGGATTACTTTTGTATGAGTCTATTCATTGATTTCTTTGGAGAATCCTTCTGATTGTTTCTGATATTCTATTTCTTATTTTCTATATGTTATCGGCGAGGTGTTGTGCCTTCACGTTAGAATTATGCAGGGAACCCTGATGGCTGAAGACTTTGTCAGGGGACAGTTTCTATAGTTCACTCGTATGTTGAAAGAGTTATTGGTCATTTCTCAGTTAAGGGAACCCCTTATTAGCACGGCTACACTGTAAGAAATATGGGACAAATCAGCGTTCCTCATTCTGTGTAAAAACGCATCAGCTGACGCTGAATGTGACGCCTTGGAAGACATTTTGAACCTTTTAACTCTGGCCAAATATTTGAGTTTACACACCAAAATGATCCAAGAGTGTTTTTAAAAGCTTACTCCTTATTGTTTTCTCCATATATTTTGAGCCTGTTGAGATGCTGCCGATTCTTAAAAACAAAACAACCCGTGTGTGTGTGTGTGTGTGTGTGTGTGTGTGTGTGTGTAGAAAGTGGTACAGAAGACAGAGATGATGCTGTTTCCCCGTTTGATATTTCCCTGTAAGGTTCACACTGAAAGATGAGAAGGAGTCCTGCTCTGTTTCCTGGAGAAATCAAAGCGACGGCTTCCGCCGACATTTTTTTGCTCGAGATTTACCACTCAACCGTCGGTGTCATTACCGCCGCTGCTTTTGTTTCCCGCCGCGGAGTCGCGCACACAACCATGGCATGTCCCAGCATGATTTTAATTGCCAGTGGGACTGTGGCCACTTCAGTGGGAGATGAGTTCTGATGGGCTTGTTATGGAAATGAAAGGAAGGAGCAGCGACCGTTTACAGAGCAATGGGCGTAGCCCTTTTTTTTTTTTTTTTTTTTTTTTTTGGTCTTGCAGGCCTCGTAAAAGGTTTTGCAGTGTAAGACGTCCCGAGCAGGTGGACGCCGTGTCTCTGGCGGTCTTTAGGACACAGAGAGAACACTCTTACCTGTGCATAAATGGATGCGTGCTGCGCAGAAGGCTGCTGGGTCAACACTTCCTGAAAAGACGGTTCATCTGGTTTGCAACCACAGTTTTCCTTTCCTGAAACTTCTCGTGTTTAAAACGTCAGTGAGGAGGAAGCACCGTACTAGTGCATCAGTTGAGGTAATTCAGAGATATCGGTTAAAAAAACAACTATCCAAGCAGTGCCCCAAATTTCACTCCAGCCCCGTGACAGCTGTGACCGTGGCCTCCCTGCTCGTGGCCTGCTGTTGATACTGGTGTTAGTGTCTGTCTATCTCCAACAGCTGGAGAGCCCTCTCTTTGTCTCCTCTCTCTTTCTCTCACACTTGATTTCTGCGTATGGCAAATTGACCAGTACTCCCACTTCCTCGGCTCGTCTTCATCCCACACCTCTCTCTCTCTCTCTCTCTCTCTCTCTCTCTCTCTCTCTCTCTCTC